AAAGAAAAAAATTTTTTTAAAGTTTGCTTTAGTTCCAAGTTTTAACGATTGCTGATTTATTTTCTGTGTTCCTCCTCCCCTGGCCTTACGTCACTGCTCTTTTTTGATCCCTGTCCATGTAGCCTTGTCACGTTCTGAGACAAAACAGAGTGGCCTAAAATGAACCTGTTGGCATGCTGGTGTGAGGAGAGAGAGAGAGAGAGAGAGAGAGAGAGTGTGTGTGTGTGTGTGTGTGTGTGTGTGTGTAAATGGGGACAAAGAATGGAGTGGGGCCTGTACGGGTAGCATGTAGTATCCACCACTTGGTCTTGTCAGTATCAATGATAAAGCACAAGTAATAACTGTCATTTCCTTAGATAGAGATTAACATTGAAGCTGAATCAGATTGTGACAATGCCAAGAACAGTTAATCTCTAATGAATTACTGTCCTCATTGCCTGAGGTAGACTTCAGGGCCATTTTGCTAACTTTTGAGGTAAGTTTTACTCTCATTTACTTGAAATTATAAGATAGATTTATAAAAGAAGAGACAAAACAGAAATGTTTCCAGCCTCCTTTCCAAAGAAGGGCCCCAGTAGCTTTAGATTTTCGTGTCTTCTCTTCCCATCCTACAGCATCTATTGTTCCATCCCCACAGAGCAAAGGAGAAGAACTAAATATGAATTACTTCCAAAAGTAAACTGCAGTTATACATATTTTATATTTGTTCTTATTCTATGCTGCTACAAGGACACATTTGAGTATAATGAATCTTAAGAAGAAAGGAAAATGCTTCAGTCACATTAAAAAAAAAAAAAAACCTCCATACATGAGCAGCAGAACTAAGGTAGGGTAGTCTGTAGCAATGGCATTGCAGGGCTCATCACATTTTAGTTAATGTTGCAAAGTAAGAAATCCGTGAAGAGAAATGACAACATGTAAGGAGACAATGAACGAAATGTGCTTTGCTCATTTATTGTGACAAGGATAGTTTCATTTAAATAATTCATGATAATGCTTTGCAGCGTGCCACTGAATGTACAACGTGTACTTTGCAAAAATAGCAAAGCTTAGTAATGCGGGACTTGAATTTAATTCTCTGCTCTTAAATTTCTGATAAGAAGTAGAAAGAGGCTGCCAAAATTGTGATGAAAATGACTAGAGAACAGCTTGGAGAGAAGCCTGTGGAGGGGAGAGTGGATCTGGCAGAGGTCCCTGTTTTCTGGTTGCCTAGGTAGCACCTCTAAGTCTTGTCTGG